GGCGTGTTTATCACGTAAAGTTACAAACTTTACGTGTATGCAAGATGATAATGGCCCAAAACAAGCTAAAGGAGTGGATTAAGGTAAGGGAAAGGCCATAGATCAACAAAGACTAGAACTTTATGACAAAGAGGGGCTAAAGGAGTCCAGATTTGAGATTGCAACCTCAGATCTTGACCCAAATCGGATATCCACTCCAAACCCCAAAAAAGGGATCTAAACCCATAAATGAAGAGATATAACCAAAAGGGAGTCAAGGTAACAGCTTGTTACCTTCAAAACGATGCCATGACAGAGAAGATTCCGAATCTACAACAGCCCCTTGCCTCACACCTCTTGAACTCCAAGCCCTTTACTCCAAGAATCTTCTTCCAAGATGAGAAGCACACAAAATTAGAGGGAAATCACAAATTAGGGTTTCTGAATTCGAGGGATGCAATAAGAAAGGCTAGGGAGAATAAGATGGTTTTTGGGTCCCATTAAGTCATGCAAATTAGGGTTTCATCTGCCATCTCCTACTCGTCAAGTCCCTCATTGGACTCGGCAAGTAGGTCACTAAAACTCGTGGACCAACCCGCTGCTACTCGACGAGTAGGGCAACCATGTACCTTTTCCTGGAAAATGAGAGAAGCACACCAAAATACACACTCAGATCTCACAAAAACTCAATGAGAGGTTAGGGTATTTGAAATAAGTCTAGAAGTCAATGGTGGCTGAGAAATGAAAGAGCCTTGAGCTTATAAGGATACTTAAATAGTGCCTAAACCCTAAAAATTAGGGTTTGGCACTCTGCTCATTACAGTGGGTGGACCCCAGCTTACAATGGGCGTACACACCCAGGCACGTGCCAACTAATCATGCATGCATGGGACCGATTTGCCATTCTTTTCCATTAGGAGCCAAATCTGCCAATAATTTCAAATTACCATAACTTCCTCATTTTAGGTCCGTTTCCAATGAACCTTATATCCATGGAAAGGTGGCGAGAAGCCCTATGTTTCTAACAACACACCAAAGCATTAAAACATCCTGGCAAAACCCAAAAATTCACAAAAGACCGAGTTATCAAATTACGATTATATCATTGGCCTCCGAAAACATCATCAAACACTTTGATCACTTAAACCAGAACACCCACACCCGAAAAGGGCCAAATCCTTTCTTCCCAAGGCCCTAAGCTCCATAGCAACTGAAGATTGGGCCGCAACCCCGAAGAATGAAGTAAATCCAATACCTAGTGTTACATACATGATTTAGAAAGTTATGATATTTTTCAATCGAAATGTTCATGTATAAGGTTAAGTTCATGAAATAAATAAATTTTGTACAATGTGGCGAAACCATTATATATATATATATATATATATATATATATATATATATATATATATATATGTGTGTGTGTGTGTGTGTGTGTGTGTATGTGTGTGTCAGTGTGTGCGCGCGCGCACACACTCTAAGAACCATACGTGTTGTGAGAACTTTGAAACCATTTGTAACCATAGTGGCAGACCTTAGTGGTGCCTGAAGGGTCCCGGGCCGCTGTTCTGATTTCGGCACGTAGTGTAAATTTTATTTAATGTTTTTTCTATTAGATGCACCAACTTAAAATACAAGTGCCACTACTAATGTAGATTTTTTCGGAAAAAAATTTTAGTGTCACCCCTACTAAAACGTTTTGCGTCCGCCGATATATATATATATATATATATATATATATATATATATATATATATATATATATATATATATATATATATATATATATATATATATATATATATATATATATATAAGATCAAATTTTTAGATCTTTATTTTATTTTCTTAGGACATCATCTCTCGACATATGTTGACTACGGGAGGTTGCAACAATAGGTGTGTTATGATAGATAATAAAAATTCTGAAGTATGTTGCTATGATATATAATAAATAATTGAAATATGCTGCCATTATGGAAAAATATAAAAGTACATTGTCTTCGGTAATAGACAAGAATTAACGCATGTTTTTATCATGGATAAAAAATCAAGTATCTTACTATTGTGGAAAAAGTAAAATACAATGCTATATTGGATAAAAAAATAAAGTTTGTTTCTAGTATATATAAAAATTATAATATGTTGTTATTGTGAATAAGAAAATATAAGTACATTCTCTATATTGGTGAAATGCATGTTATTATAATAGATAAAAATGTTAAGATATATACTTTGTTTTACTAATTTATGTATGCTTTTTTAACATATTTTAGGTTTGTGGGTTGGAAGAAAGACAAGTCCAATTGTCCAAATAAGTGTAAGATAATTACAACTTGGAGCCCAAATTGTCAAATATGAGTAATAACCCTTCCAACAATCGACCTAATGCTACTTATGTTATTGTTGCAAAACACTTGTATGTTTATTAGACATTTGTATTTTGTTTGTGTCTATATTTTTTTGTTAAACTTGCGCTGTTAATGGATAATTTTAGATTGAAGATTATTGTCTGTGTATGACGTTGAAATATAATTTGGTCATTTATATTAGAATTTTTCTGCATTTTGAGTAGAAAGAATCGTTTGTTATTCCTCTAAAGTTGTACATTTCATTGGAATTGCCTAGGAAACATTGCCAAAAAAAAAAAAAAAATTCATGAAAACTATCATAATAGTGTTTCCTTGGAAAAATCTAGGAGAAAACTATCATCATATTTGTCACTAAAAGTAGTCATAAAAGAGTTGTTATTCGGAAATGCATATGAAATATATTTTCCTGGGAATAAGTTTCCTCGGAAAACCTCGGAATACAAGCAAAAATGGCATGTATGGGGCAAGTGTTGGAACTTTATCTGTGGAATTCCCTTGGTAAAGTTTTTTAGGAACTTTTTTCCAATAGAACTTTTTTTCCTTTGAAAACTCTTGTAAATACCTATTTTGTAGTATTGTATCGCCATTTTAATGAATCACTCAAATGAATATTACATTCTTAAATAATAATAAATATTATTGCATATTATTAGATGAAAAAACCACTTATTAAAGTGAAAAAGAAGAAAAACGGATTAGTATCAAAACATTCTTTTACATAATTTCCAACTTGGCATAAGTAATAAAAATGTTTTTATAATAATATTTGCTGAAACGAATATATTTCTTGGTTATCACTTTCCCTTTGGGTTGCATAAATGCAAGAAACACAATTTCCATGCATATATCTCGTTTTACTATTAAAAGCACATGATACTCATCTTGGTGTTGAAGTGTCACTATTTATGAACTCAACTTTAGCCTATATAACGTAATACCTATTTATAGTGTAACATGATCAACAATTCTGGTTAAGCATTTATTACTTTCTCAATTAACTCAAATTAACCATAGGTAGTCACTAGTTTCGTTATGATTCGACACATGTCAATAATTGTGACACTTAAATTTGAAAGTCAAAGAGATTGTGGTTTTTGTTGATGATGAATATGAACATAGTGTCTTTCTTCCTCTCGTAAATTAACACTATAAAATTTTTATTTATTGCTTAATTACATAAGAGACCCTATTATTTACCTTTTTCGGATTAAAGAAGTGGAGGAGCAACTACATGCCTTGGGACAAAAAAGTAGGGGTGACAAATCGTGTTATCGTTTCGTGTTTCTGTCTGACACGACACGATACGATAAAGTTTTTTTTAACACGAACACGACACGACACAATGTCGTGTTTTTTTAACTAACACGAAAATGAACGCATTAAAAAAATGACAAACACGACACGACAAATACAACATATACTAAAAACTAGTTTATTTAATGAATATTTTATCACATATAACACGATAAACACGACAAACACGAAAAACAGATAAAGAAATACTAAATTGTATCAATTTCGTGTCGAATTTTGAACACGAACACGACACGACACGACATCGTGTTTTTTACAGCTAACACGAACACAAATTCAAATTTTAGTTTCTTGCCAATTTCGTTTCGTGACGTCTATTTTTATCGTGTCGTGTCATAAATTGTCACACCTACAAAAAAGATGGAAAAGCAATACATCAAAAGACAAAATTGCAAAAATGGTCCTTGTGTTTGGCAAAATTATGCGACTTTGGTCCAAAACGATACTTTGATGCACCACTGGTCCAAAATTGGATTTTTTCCATTGTTTTTGGTCCCTCCCATTCACTTCCGTCCATATACTCCGTTACATGCAATAAAGACCAGGGTATTTTCGTCTTTCCACTTACAGGGACCTTTTTTGCAACCTTATTCAAAATAAAAGCAGAGCTACATCACTCTTCCATCTTCAACTTCACGAGCTTCATACTCTTCCTACTCTGTGTTCACAATTTCTTAGAGATCAAAAATTAAAATGGTGATGTGTTTCTGTGGTAGGGAAGCGGTGGTTCGCACCTCCTGGACATCAGCAAACCCTGGTCGGAGGTTTCTTTCCTGCCCTCAAAAGGTAAGTGTTCGATTTTTCTATTTTACCCTCATTTTGGAAAATCACCCTCATGTTTAGGGTTTATTTTTTTATGTGAAGGGTTCCAGATGCCGATTCTTAGGATGGATTGATCCTCCCATGTGTGCATGATCTATGTTGATAATACCCGGATTATTGAGGAATATCAACAATGTAAACTATCAAGTGGCAAGATTGAAGATGTGTTTGTTTGCAAGTTGGTTATTATTTGTGGTGGTTTGGGTGCTTTTCATTTTGGTAATAAGCAATTAGGGACCCATGTAGTTGCATGTAATTTTGGGTGTTTTTTGTCTTATGAAATTGTAACAAGGGAATGTGGTAGTTTTTGGTATTTGATAATGTAATATCAGTTTAGGGTTATTTTGGACAACTTCAGAAATTTGTACTCTTTTCAAGGATATAATGACAATGTATTGCAGTTATCACCGAATGTTAATGTTTATTTGTTGTTTCAGAAAACAGTTGTTATAACCATAAATGTGTTCCATAAACATGACAACCAACAGTTGGTATAAACCATAAACATCATTCTTCAACAATGACAAAAGGTTGACATTATTTCATGACCAAAAGGGCTAAAAGACCAAAATAAAACCATTACAACAAACTAGTTTTAAACCATTACATCCAAATGCACAAAAGTTGTGCTAAACCAAAAGATAAGTTTTTAAACAAAATACACTAATTCCTGCATTGACTGCTACCTCCATTCCCTCCTTGACTGCATCATGCATTCCCTCCTTGACTGCTTCCTGCATTCCCTCCTTCATTGCTTCCTGCATTCCCACCTTGACCCTTGCACGTCCTTGAGTTATGACCCCTATTGTTGCATTTCCCACACCTGACACTAACAAACTTTCTGGTAAGTTTTTCAGGTTCACCTGCACCATGATTTTGCATTTGTTTATCATATTTTTCATCTGCACTTCTCTTTCTCTTGGTCTTAGGTCTCCCAGGTTGATTGTGATGTGGTGGTGGTGTTAATTGAAATGGACAGGTACTTTTTGGCCACATGGCTCTACCCTTTATAGGGTCCACAGTGTAAGAGTAAGCTTCATTCCATGTTTGAAGCCAATACACTTTGTTGACATAAGTGTAAAGCTCCCCAACTTTGTCTCCACTATCAGCCATTTCATGTATTGTAGCTATGGCATGCCTGCATGGAATCCCATTCAATTCCCACCTTCTACATGTACATGACATATTTGTCATGTCAACCACATGCTGGTCATGCCAAGGACCATAAACTTCATACTTTGCAGTCCCATTCCATCTAGCTCTATATTGGACTGAAGCTTCCCTATTTCTCTCAAGTAACTTTGATGTTGTTGGAGTGAGTGGACCTGGAGCTTTGGACATCACTTTCTTCACATTGCAAATCCTCTTCATAAGGTACTGCCTGATGTACTCAAGACAACTTATGATGGGCTTATTCCTACCATGAATAAGCTTACTGTTGAAAACCTCATATAAATTGTTGAGCAATATATCTGATCTTTGCTCTGCCTGTATTAAACAAGAAAATTATATGAACTAAACCATATACAATGAGCACTAGTAAAGCTTCACCTAAGTTAGGGAATGTAACCTGAAAAGTGGCTTCTGGCCCAATGGTGAAGGGGGGATTTTCTTCAACCACTCAAAAGCTTCCTTATCAAACTTGTTAAGTTCATTCATGTAGTGTTCAAATTCTGGTATTGTGGTTGCTATTGCACACTTTCCATAAGTGATCTTTATACTCTTTTGTTTTCCATTTTTTCCTCATGTTCTCATAAATATGTCTTAGACAGAATCGATGCTCAGCCTGTGGGTATAGTTGTGCAATAGCAGGTAAGAGTGCCTGTAAAGGATTATTTCACTTAATCATTGCAACAATCATATACAAATAAACTATTAGTAATACAAAAAGAAGAAAATAGTACCTTTTGTCTATCACTCATGAAAGTAAAGTTAGAATTTGAGTACAACTCTAAGTCATCTCCCAAGCATTCTAGAAACCATTTCCAGCTACTCATATTTTCAGTCTCAACAATGGCATATGCAAGTGGGTATATGTCGTTGTTTGAATCCAATCCAACTGTTGTGAGTACTTGGCCTGGAAAGGGTCCTTTCATAAAAGCACCATCTAGTCCCAGAATATCTCTTAAGCCTGCTTTAAACCCTTTCTTTAATGCCCCTAAGAAAATATACACCCTTTTAAACTGCCTTGTTTCTCTAGTACTGTTAGGCTCATTAACAACCTCAAGCTTCACAGTTGTACCCACATTAGTTGCTTGTAGTTCCATAAGATAATCTCTTAACACCTCGTATTGCTTTGTGTAGTCACCACTCACTTGCTTTGTAGCTGTTGCTTTTGCTCTCTGTACTTTGTGTATGGACACACCAACTTGAAGCCTCTTCTGAACTTGCTCGTGAATGCTTCGAAGGGGTACTGTAGGGTTAGACTCGACCATGTCTAAGATTTCTGCAGATATATACTTCGCAGTGCAAGCCCTAAGTTTTCGAGTTTGAACACAAGTATGTTTGTCCACTAAAGTTTTCACATACCAATAATCACTATCTTTTGACCGTGAAGTCTGCATTAACCAAGAACAATTTAATTTATTGCCCTTACTTACCCCACTTGCATTTACATTAGGTACATTACCTTTACACACAACCCTAAGCCTTGTTTTGTCGTTTTTCTTGAAGCCAAGATTCCTTCTAGTCTCAATGGCAAGTTTGTTGACTTTGTCCTTAATTTCCTTTTTACTTTTATACTTTTGACCCACTTGAAAAGTAACTGTATGGACTTCACCAAGAGAGCACTTCTTCTCCTTCACCATCTGTTTTAATATTGCTTTCCTTCTTTCATCATCACTATCTTCACCTAATGAGTCCCATTCATCATTATCAATTACTTCAACATCTTCAACATCTTCCATATCAACAACTTCATTTTCAATCTCAACACCTTTTCCTCTATCAACATATTCAACATCTAGATCAACATTCATATAGAAATCACTCATGTCCACCTCAATATCACTTACATAGTTTTCTTCATCTTCAAGAAAGTCACTGTCTTCCTCACTCCCTTCACTACCCCCTTCACTACCCCCTTCACCAAGTCCTTCACAAACTCCCTCACTTTCAAATTGAACTTCCCCCTAGTCCTGTGACAAGTTCTGCACCAACACCCATACTCTGATCATTACCATCATTAAAAGTATATTGATCAAAGAAAAGATCAAAGTCTTCAAATTGAAATGGTTGGTCATCAAAGGTATCAAACTCTCTTGTATTTACTTCTTGGTCACCAACATTTGCACCTTGATCATGAACTTCTGTATCTTGATCACCAACAGCTGCACCTTGATCACTAACATTTGCTCCTTCATTACCAATTTCAACATGTGTATCTTGACCACCAACAGTTGCACCTTGCTCACTAATATTTGCACCTTCATTACCAATTTCAACATGTGCATCTTGATCACCAACAGTTGCAGTGTGTTCCAAGTTGAAACACAATTTCTTACTATATGATTGACTCCCATCAACTAACCTCAATCTCTTATTTGAATTGTATTCGGGTGTCTCATATCTTACTAAACACAATTCAAGATTTGGGACATCTTGATCACCAACAGTTGCAGTGGGCACATCATCTGCTATTTCCTCAATTATGACCCTAGGTTTAACTCTTGGAGACATAAAGTATGTAAGTAACTTAGTTTCATTATGTTCAGTGTATACCTTGATGATCTTATGATGTTCAATGTACCGTGCAAGACTAAGTACATCAATATCATTCCCTAGAGCTCTAAGACCAAACTCCAAATCTCCATTTGGCAATTGATAGTGGTAGTAAATGACTGGTGGTACATCATAACCAAGCTTCAGCATCACCTCGTCCAACTCATGCACAAAGAACTCATCCATGTCTACCAAGTCAATGTGGTCTAATTTTCCTTCAATGTAGCTTATCCGTGGGAATTTTGTGAACCTCCCTCCATGATGGAGCTCAATAGTGAACATCGTGGGATATCCTTCTGTAAAAATCATGAACCAAACCAAAAAAACATTACTTTATATGGATTGTAAAAGATTTTTTTTTGTTTCAAAGAAATATGTAAGAAACAGAGTACGTTACTGTAAATTCGGATTGCATCAAAACACTGATTTCTTGGCCTGATTTCCCACATTTGGACCATACTCGTGGATTCAAACTTACGATTGCGGTTGATGATCAAATGCAAGATTTCAATGAACGATTAGGGTTTTCGATCAACAAGTTGGGTTTAGTGCGTAGAGTGAAGGGTCATTAACTGTGTATATCATTCAATATGGCGGTAATCGATGATATGGAGGTGGAAAGACGAAATACACCGGTCTTTATTGCATGTAACGGAGTATATGGACGGAAGTGAATGGGAGGGACCAAAAACAATGGAAAAATCCAATTTTGGACCAGTGGTGCATCAAAGTATCGTTTTGGACCAAAGTCACATAATTTTGCCAAATAAAGGGACCATTTTTGCAATTTTGTCACATCAAAAAGAGGAATGAAAACACAAGGACTAAAGTGGTATAGACACAAATGATACTCCTCATCCTCGAGTAGTTGAAATACCTATATATATATATATATATATATATATATATATATATATATATATATATATATATATATATATATATATATATATATATATATGTTTAGGTTCATGTGAGACCGTGAGACGCATTTTTTTTTTTTTTTAAATTTTTTTTTAGTTAATTCAAGTTCCAGAAATAATATTTAAAAAAAAAATTGGATTTTTCCATTTATTTTGCATTTTAAAATTATTTTTTAGAATATTTCAGTGTAATATTCTATTAGAATATTTCACGTATTTTTTTTTTTTAAAAAAATGGAATTTATTTTTATTTATTTAGATTTTTTTTATATTTTTTTAGTTAATTCAAGTTCCGAAAATAATATTTAAAGAAAAATTTTCAGATTTTTCCATTTAATCTGCATTTTAAAATTATTTTTTAGAATATGTCAGTGTAATATTCCAATTAGAATATTTCACTTATTTTTCAAAAAAAAAAATGGATTTTTTTTAATTTTTTTTAGTTAATTCAAGTTCCGAAAATAATATTTAAAAAAAAAAAAAGAATTTTTGGATTTTTCCATTTATTTTGCATTTTAAAATTATTTTTAGATTTGGTCTCACGGTCTCACAAAATTAGAATGGTCTCAAATGAACCTATATATATATATATATATATATATATATATATATATATATATATATATATATATATATGGTATGTTTTCTTTAATGCACTTCTTGGTTTATCTTACATTCAATTCATTTACTATGTATTGTTTATATGTTCAGGAGGATGCACCAAATGGTGATCTTACACAAGACTATGTGGCTGAAACACAACCAATGACAACAACATTAGATGAAATGCAATTAATTGATGTACATGTGAATGAGGTTGAAGATGATGGTGATGAAGTAGGAATTGGAAAAACTCAAATGGCACGTCAACACTTCAAAATGTTGGTGATTTTAGTGTCACCATGTCATTTTAAGTAACTGGAACTAACATGTGAGCTAAGGGGCTTAATGATTTGTACTCTAATACATGTACGGGGTTGTGCGGAGTGCACGCATGTATAAAATTGAGTCAGAAGCTGGTTTGATGACTAATCGAGGGTCCGGGGTTTCCAAATGGGCAGCGCCCCTTTGGCGGGGTCTAGGGGCAGCGCCCCTAGCGGTGTCCAAGGGGCAGAGCCCCTTCGTAGGTGATTATGGTAAAACTAACGAAACTCGTTAGTTTTTGGTAACCCTAATCCGGATTAATATTACTTGCTTCCAAAGCAACTAATGACGGCCCAACCCTAATGAAACCTTAATCGTGTTTACTATATAAACAACTCTTTCTTTCCAGAATGGAGACGTTCTTTAGCTCTCGTTTTTCATCACACATTCACAGAACCCTTTAGCATATTAGCTTACGTTTTCTGTGCCTAGAAACGTAAGTGTCCGCTTGGATTATCCTAGACTGAATTTCTTGTAACCCCAATGTTTTAAAACCCGGGTTTTTAATTGACCCGGTGTGACGACCGGTTCACGGGTCAACCGGTTCAACCGGTTGAACCGTCGGGTCAACCCCGGTTTATGATTTTTTTCTATTTTTATATATTTTTACTTTCCTGTATAATGCATAAACATATAAAACCTATAATTTGATGTACACAAAGTTTAAATATTGAAAAACATTAAACAAACCACAAATAACTCGTTGTTTTGGTGTTCGATACTTGTATCCAACTATCAAAACCCTATTAAAACGGGTCAACCCGGTTTTAACCGGTTCAACATAAGCGGTCGAACCGCGGTTCAAGGGAAACCCGGCCGGTTCGATCCGGTCCGTATTTCTACAAAAAACCGTTGTCAATTGACCCACCTTTTACCCCGGGTCACGGTCCAACCGGTTGAACCGGCCGGGTCAACCCGGGTTTTAAAACATTGTGTAACCCAGATATAGCGTAGAAATATCAGTTCGGAAAGTGATATCACGATCCAATCTGGTATCCAGATCTCCACCGCAAACCCTAATATTCCGAACACAAAATTGGAAAAAGTCAATAGATGGAGTTGATTCAAGCTAGAAAGAACCAATGGTGTAAGAGGTGTTATTTCATTGATATGTATAGTGGGTGAATGGAAATTTTATTGGTGCTACTTGTTACCTCTTTTGTTGCTACTAATATGACTTTTTATAATTGTTAGTGATGGCTACTTAGATTGATACCACATGTTTTTAATTTAGTGAAGTAATCGGTTGACCATTTGGATCGATCGGTATAGCTTGACATTCGATGGTTTTGATCTGATTACCTTGTTTAGGACTTTTGTAAATGACAATACATATGTCACATGTTATACACATGCATGGAAAGTTTTGGTTTTTCATGTTATTAATTGTTTGGAAATCAAAAAATCTTCTAACTAAGGTTCATTAGAGTCCATGCATAAATAGAGAAGTTTCAACCTCACAAAAACACCATTCGGTTCCAACATTCCTAACAACTATCTTGCTTCTAATGCTTTACATGGAATAAAAAAACCATAAAAAGGGAAGAAAACGTGAAATTATGGTTTCCAAGAAGATTCACGTTTTTAAGCTTGGGGTTGCCAAATCATCGTCCAGCTCATTAAATGAGGTGACGTCAACAACATTTAACTGTCTTATTAACTGTTAAATAAGGAAAGGAAAGGAAAGGTCTGGTTTAATCCAAAAAAAATGATAAAATATATGTTTTTTTAATGTAATTAACCTTTTTTATTTTCGGAGCTGTTTGTACAAATTAGTTAACCATCTCTAGTATATTTAAATTACATACTAATAATTTAGTCTATTATAACCATTGCAAACAAATAAACAACTTCATAACTTCCAAAACATTATTAGACCCCACACTAAGTTCAACACCCACTTTCATACAACTTAAAAAGATGGTAATTAACAAATACCAAGCAAAACACACTAGTCTACATCCTCGGTTTTTACAGACTAAACTGAATTGAACTGGACTAAACAAGTTTTCCATAGCTATTTACAACACAAGAATGACAAGGACGTTCACGTCTTTTCCACACACAAAAGACTAAGAACAAGTCTATCCCACCTCTTGATGGGAAATTATTACAACCTTCGTCCCACGGACTAAACAAGTTTCTCATAGACTCCTCACGGTTTCAGTTCAGTGTAAGCCAAATACAGTACAAAGCCAACATGTCATACCTAATGTCGCAGTTCTAGTCTAACACACACGAAATGCAGTACAATATGGTCTTGTTCTGTCCTGTCATATGTCATGTACTGCATAACAAACGATGCCTAAAACTCATCGAAACCGGTACAAAACCCTAAAACCCTCACTCAAATTTACAATCACGCCACCACGTAGGATAATCGAACCCTAAAATAACCTACCATTATCAAGTTCTCCCTGGTGGAGTAAGTTGCCCTATTTGATCAACAAAATTATTCACACTCCTCATATTCCACCAAAACTTTCCAAATTGATCCAACTCTTTGCCACTCTTGTCTCTATCACCACCCGGATTCTCAGTCAAAAACTGTTCCCAAAACACATCGTTAACACCCACCACCACCCCATCTCCGGCGACTTCACTGGTGGCAGTTTTAACCTTTTCACGGTTCACATCAAAATCATCTTCAGCTTCTTTCAATACACCCTCCCACAACACAAGGGATGATTCCAATTTCTCCACTAACTCATTATCCAATCCCAAAAGTGCATCAACGGTTATACTTTCACGAATCGGGATATCAAAATGACAAATTTGCCCCTCGTCATTTTCACCGGACAACCTTCTTTTTCTGTCATTTGTGTCCCCCAACGCGGGTTTCTGAAATAATTCGTTTAAATAACAAAGGATTTCTTTTTGGTGTTTTCCAGCGAGTTTCAAACGATCGGTTAATTCGCGTGCTTTTGATTCGATTTGCTTCTGTTCTTGTTGGTGCTCTTGAAAAAGTAAGGATAGTGATCCTTTTTCGTATTGGAGATTATTGATTTTTTCTTTGTATATTTGTTTCTCTGATTCGGTTAATGGAGAAGATGAAGGTAATCCATTGATTGAGAGATTTTGCATGGAATGACTATGAACTGGTTTTCTTCTATGGATGTTTTTCAATAGATGTGGTTGACCTTTGATGAAATCTTCATTTGCAAATTCCCATAGTTCAGGATCAATTTTCCGAAAACCCTGAGAGAATTTAAAAAAAAAAAAAGTTGTTGTAGAATTGTAGTTTTGTTTTTTCACTCAATAAATGCAAAGGAGAAGAACGAATGCATGAATCAAAAGTACTGACTTACATAAGTATTAAGTTGTCTGATAAAACTGGAGAAATTGTTATGCTTGAAGAATCTTGGAAGCAATTCACCACAAAATTCAGGTGGATTCCACACGATGAAACTCTTATTATTCTGACTCCATGAGACGATAGCATCTGTCGAAGGATCATCAACCATCTCATACGTCTTCGTGATGAAAGGAGGCAGAGCATTAGAACTACCCTGAGCATCATTCATTGTGACCCAATACGAATTTCTCTCGAATCAAGTCAAAAGAAGCTTAAATTTTGAAAACAGGGTTGAAAAAGCTGCTTGTTTCCCAAAAGGAAACCCAAACCCACCAAGCTCAAGCGAATACCTGGTTATCTGTATAGAACTCCTGTAGAAGAAGATAGAGAAAGCGAATCAAGGATAAGAACAGCTTCATATGTCATAATTACTTAGCGGAAAGAAACATCAAAGTCGTTAAAAGCATCAACTCGTTTCCGGAAACTTAAAGCAAAAGCGTCCCCTACCAAAACTGTTACATATGCATCTATACTTGTACATATCACAGATGCCTTCTAACAGAGCCAAATTAGTGCACACCAGGTGTTCGACGTATTACCTGAAAGATAGTGAACCAAACGAACTCCAAGAATTTAAATATGGCTTCAAGGAAGGGATTAATTCCCTCTGACGAAAAACATCGCCCGGAACACACGAATCCAATCTTGTTAGGGTTTTACGTGAAGAAGAAGAAGCGCAAGAAATGAAAACGACACAGGTATAATAGAGAGGTTGAAAGTTCTTCGAGACTTAGTTCTTCTGATCTTGGAATGTCGGAATCACTGGTCGTTCTGGATTGAATTTACTTGAAAGAAATCGACTGAGGGGTAAATCATCAAATCAGGGTCATGTTCAATCTAAAATCGTGTACGTGGGTTTAAATTCAATCCACGTTCTTGTTTGTTTTGGATGTCGGAATAATTTTATATGGAAAACCTTACAGAGTGACGCATGTGCTTTGGTGGGTATGTCAACTTTACAATTTAACATATATATATCTCCAAGATGTTCATCCGTTCGCAAACATTTCATTTATGCCCCTACACTTTGGATTAGTTCTCCAAGATGTTCATCCGTTCGCAAACATATCACTTATGCCCCTACACTTTGGATTAATTTCAAATACTACCCACATATTTTTGAGAGACTATAAGAATACCCCCCAAAACATTTGCTTTACGACGATTATGGTTTTAGTTCTTTTTTTTTTTGAACAACAATTTTTATTTAGTAAAGTAATTTTCTATATAAAATAGCATATGTTCATTAATTATCGCCCTTTAGTAAAGAGTATAAATTTAATTGTACGTAGGACTGTAAACAAAACGAACGAACATAAACAAAAGTCTGTTCATATTCGTTCGTTTAAGTTAGCCGAAAAAATGAAAGAACACGAATGAGTTTTTTTGTTCATGTTTGTTCGCTTAACAAATTACATTGTTCACGTCCGTTTGTTTAGTTCGTGAACATGATAAACAAACATAAAAGAACAAAGATAAATAAACACAATTGAACATATATGAATATAAACGAATATATAATATATTAATGTAATAAAAAACAATCGAACATATATAAACATAAGTTAACTTAAAATGAGTGAACATTCACGAACATAAACGAACAAACGAAACCATAGTTTATGTTCGTTTGTTTAACCAAACGAAAGAGAATTTTTGTTCATGTTCGTTCATTTATTAAAATCAATGAACATTAACAAACTTCCTACCGAACGGTTCGCCGAACGTTTAGTTCTTTTACAGCTCTAATTATACTGTATAACAATTTGATGGTTAAAATGATTGTGTATTAACTTTTCCTAGCATAAAGATGAACAAAATCTTAGTGTTGAAAAACAAAAATAACGTTATGTTATACTAACATAAAAATATTACTTAAAACGTTGGCCTGAAAGTATGTTCATTTAACCTATTGCATCATAATTTGATGATGAAAAAACAAATTAACATTGAGTGAATTAACATTTATAACCATTATATCTAAATTTTTATAAAATAAACAGTCAAATTTGAAAGAAATCCCAAAGAATGTGTTGGTTAGGAGGGACCAGGCTCGGCTGGATAGGATGAAGCTGTAGTGGATTATACTAAATGGATGAATTAGACATGTTTTATAGGTATTTTTTTATGATAAGAATAAAAAAAACAAATAAAAGATCGAAAACATACACACTATCTCTTTTTAGATGGGACGTCTTTAATAAATAGTTATAATAATATAACCATTTTCAACATATATCATAAATAACAATCAATACAGTTTGAAAATTTCAAATTTTATAGGTGTTTCAAAGTCCATTATCAACACTCATTTTCTTAACTTTTTGCTTCTCCATTTTTTTCTATTTCTATCATCTTCCTTATAATCACTCATAATTACTTCCTACTTTCTTGCTATAAATGTATTATTTCTTTTTTTTTTTTCTTTTTAGTTCGTTGTCATTCTAACAAAACCATTTTGTATCATTTCAATGAATATCTTACATGAAAAACAAGTTCAAAACGCATCATAAAAAACAAGTATGAAACGTATATACATGATCAAAACTTATCATAAAGAACAAGTTCAAAATCTATCATAGTTCAAACTTTAAGAGGTTGAAGCATCTTTTGTCATAAAAGTGGTTTTGAATTATTTTTCTTGACAAAAAGATGTGCCAAACTCAAAAAATGAAAACACAATTTAACCAGTTTCATAGATGATCGTCATTTTTGCATTCCTTCAAAAGATATTCAACTTATTGTGATAATTTTAGGAAAATAGTAATTTCGCGAATAATCGTAATTATAATGCTTATTTCATCAGCATCAATTGTACTCTTTATCTCGGATAAATTACCTTGAATTCGCATGGGTCATTTCCTAAAACATTTGTAATTTTGGTTTGTACTTTGTAATTCTATATGTATTTTGTTAGTTTTAGCTACCTTTTTTTAAAAAAAAAAAATTATAAAATCGTTGGCCGATCTAACAAAATCTAATTGCAAACCACAGGTATTTTTAGGTCAAATCCGTAACTCTTGGCCATTAATGTAATATTTTTCCGTAACTCTATCCAGTCCGGAGAAGCCGCGTTTTTCTCAATTTGAAAAGGCAAACAGCACATTTTGGTCCCGATGCTATTCATTAATTACCACTATTCGTCCCTATTAAATCAAAGAGTTAGTTATTACAGGTGGCAACTTTTCTTTTTCTGCTTCTTCGAAAACAAGAACTGCTACATAATAAATGTCCTCACTGTATTTAGATTAGGAAAGGAATAGAGTCGCTTTTGAGAAAAAAAATGTGTTAGCGACATTATTCATTTTTCCATAAGTCGGTTAGAAATAAATAGATATCATAAATACCATTTGAAGTATGTGAGTATCATATGGTAATATATGTTTATATTTCCACACTATATTTACAATAATAGTGTTGCATCTGCGAAAAAGTGCGTAATTAATATTATACATTTTTCCACAAGTACTTTAAAATTAGACTAATGATAAATAACATCCTTTCTAATAAATAAAAGGTTTTTTTATCACTTGTTATATTCTTATTTAATTTGTTAAATATCATTTTATAGTTATTTTGAATTTTTTCAACATGTTATTTTATTAGTTTTTCTATTTTATTAAATTTTATATGATATTTTATATAATTACAATAAATATAGCAATAAATGGATATTTATTTCATTAATAAACTTGCATTTTAATTTTAAAATTCTTAAAATTAAAGTCATTAGTTTATTTTCTTTATTTAAATTATTTGTTTAAATTTAAAAGATAAAAAAACATTTACATTATAAAAACTCATTATTTTTCTTATTTTCTTATAAATTCAAAGTTCTCAGATATTTTGACTTTTATAGTTAACTTTTTTTTAAAATTAATTCATATAATACATGAGTCTCACAACTAGTAATTAATATTATATATTTTCCACAAATCTTTTAAAATTAAATTAATCATAAATAATATGTCAAATGTGTTAATATATACTACCTACATTCTATATTTATTTAAAGTTAAAGTTGAAAAATAAAAACTTTAAAAAACAAAAATGAAATATATATATATATATATATATATATATATATATATATATATATATAGAGAGAGAGAGGGGGGGGGGGGAGAGAGAGAGAGAGAGTTAGGATCAAATGTGAATCATAAATACTGTATGAATGTGTGACCAACTTATTGCCATTAGATTAAAAAGAATAAAACGATATGATTTTAGGATATACACTATTAATATGAACCATCATGTATTATATAATTGCTATTATTAATTATAAGGACATTTATTATATTTTCTAAAGTGAGAGAATATTTAAATTATCTGAATTTTAGGAAACTAAGTAAATTAATTAATAAAAATCAAATCAAAATTTGAATTTTATTCAATGCATTTAAATTAAATCATATTTTTTAGAACACGTATTAATTTAAACACGTATTAACATGTAATCTGATTCTTTCATTCTTAAAGAATATGTATGTACATGTAATTTGATTTTTTCATTCTTAAAGAATATGCATGAGTTCGTTTAATATATCTTTTTTATTCTTTTCGTTCTTAAATAAGATTTTTTATGAAGTAAGATTCTTAAAGAATACACATCATATATTAGATAATAACATATTGAAAAATACTTACGCATTGAATCTTTAAAACTACGAGAATATAATCTAATCTATTCTTTGATAAATATAATATTCATGGTAAAGAATCAATTTTTAAAATTAAATCTTGTTATATATCATAAGAATAGTTAAAAATCAATTATTTTAATTTAAACTTGATGTTTGATAGAGATAATAGTTAATTGTAATATTGTCATAAGACATCCATGATAAATGCAAATAATTTTTTGATGAATATACACAACCTTCTATATTATGTTGGTTTAAGAATATGTTTGTAACATATATTATATTCTTTGTATAATATATAACAATCTTGAAGAATATACAAAAAAATGATATATACTATATATTTTTTTTAAAATTTGTTTGTCTAAAGGCCAATATGGCATACAAAATTCTACATTCTTCTCCATCATTCATTGTTTTTATCACCTCTTTTTATCTTTGGCCGGCTAACACTATCTGGAAAGTTCTCGAACCATCAACAAACTTTTTTACCAGGCTTTCATTCTTAAAGAATACGTTGGTT